TGTTGATGGTCCAATCTTTACCGACCGCATACTCTCACACCTAAAATGTCTGCGCGCCACAGATTAGGCCTAGAGAAACCAGTGTTGTAATCAAACATACTTTTGAAGACCGAAATTCAGCACTACATGATCGCAGTTAGCTAACGACGGAAACAATCGTAGATCCATAATATCTTCAAATTGGTGGGTTAAACCCATATTTAATAACAACGGCTTGTGTCCGAAATCGTATTGTGTTGCACGAGTTAAATTTTGAACTAAAGCAGATTTTAGTACCGTTAAAGCCGGTCATTTTTGAAGCAACTGCCCGATACTAAGACTGTAAGCTCCATCCAGTTTATGTGTGGAGCTTTCGAATCCCCAACTGCCAGGCACCTGTCGCTTTTACTCCAGTTACATATATGAGTTAGCACGAAGTCACTTGCAAGGCGAAACAGACTATAGTCAACTACCCCAGTAGTACAGAAACCTTGCTTTAACTTCACCTCACAACTGGCCACTTCGCAGATACCACTGCCAAGCGCTTCGGAATTAACTCATCATATATTGTCGTCATCACAGACATAGGGTAGAGAGTAGTATGTCGCAACCCTAAACCGTATCCCTATACAGTAATACCCTGTAAGAAGTGGCGTAAAATCTAAATCCTTTATTAGCCAGGTTTTAGTAAGAGCTGCTACATCAGTACGTACTTCACAGATTAGTCTCGAGGCCTGTCATTTTACTTCTAACGTTGCGAACATTGGTGTAGATCACGTTCACAGCATTTGAAGAGTTCAATGACACACCCAAATAGGCCTTGGAGGCACTCGTTTCCAAGACCCCACAACCCGAAAACCTAGTTTTAAGATGGTCTTCTTCATTAATTTGTGGAGCCTTAAGTTCAACGATCGCTTCTCTTCTTTTTATCTGGTCCTCGAAAGGCCAGTCAAGTTGGATGTGGATGTTCGAATTTCGTAGTTTGGATGTTTTACTCAGGAGTACATCCATTTCTTCTTTGTCAACTAGAACAATTTTTAAAATTCTCCGCTCAAGATTTATGGTAAGAGTAACTTTATGGTAGTGACGGCTTTCCAAGTCAACCAACGTGTTTAGAATCTGCTGTTTCTGTATTAACCTATATCTCTCTAGTTACGTTTTATGTTTTCGTGACATATTAGTAGCAAATTTAAATTGTATTTAGGTAATAAAACTAATGAACGCAGTGTACTAACATAGATGCATTACATTTTATTTATTCATTTTAAAAACTAATCATCAGCAAACTGCGTTATGTCATTGAACAACTTTAATGACTCACTTTATCAATGGTAAACAAAGGGGATCACATAAATATTAACCTTATCAACATCAAACTCGCTTACGGCTCTATATTTTGTTTGGTTGAAATGTGCCATAGGAAAATTATACCTAAGAGTACCTCTCTTCCCAGCTCTATCACTTCGTAAGAAAATTGAGTTTTACCTAGCAAATAATTTTCCGAATGACTAATTTTAAAAAGTCGGGAACATTCTAAATGCATTTCAAACCTGTTCCACAACTGAAAATCTTGAAGAAAGCATCAATAGCGACCTAGAGGTTTGAATGTATTTTGTACAACTCCTTAGGTGTATAAGTTGTTATAGAATAATTAAAATATATACTTTCTGTGGTCATAATGTTTGGAAGTGGATAAGTGAAAATCAAGAAACATTGGATAAATGTCTTCCCGCACTTTTAATTTACATTGCTTTTAAGATAGAACCTCGAAATTCCAAATTTCCTAACAATACAATTAGTATTAAACCACTAAATGGAATTCAGAAGAGCATTACTTACTGACATCATAAGTTTTGTGTTACCTTCATTACATTATGTAGTCGTGTAATAAACATTTTAATTTCAGGAAATCTCAGTCACTACTTTTTGTTGAAATTAAATTTTAGCGTCCTCGTGCAAAAACATGCACAACATACTTTATAGCTGACAATCGTGGACACCTGTTTCGTAGTCAAGATAAAAAACCTGGTGATTGTCCATGGGGTCATTATGTTGGAACATGGGATTTACCATGTCATTATCCGGGTAATTTTATAAATAATCCAACTGCTAGAAATCCTGAGGCATTTAAGGAATCACAAAAGAAAAGTCAGTTGTACCAAGCAAAACTTGATTTAGCTATATCGAACAAAAGTCGCTCAATTCTTGAAAGGGTAAACCATTTTGCTCTTTTGCTGTTTATATATATTTGCTTTGCTATCGTTTTAAGAAAACAGTTTGTATTTAAATAACAGTAATCAATCACAAATGACGTACTCCATGTTACTGGTACTTCGATCATACACTGATATGTCACTCCGTTCTATTACCGGGCTGTGAAACATGGCCGTTAAAAGTGGAGAATATCAGATTGCAGGTGATTGACAGCAGGCTTCTCCGCAGTACCGCCCGCGTACAGCGGAATCAGCATGGAGCCATTTTGAGATTAGATGAAGGGCGATGCATAAATCAACGGATCAGGTTGTAAACTTCACCAGCTGATGTGACACAAATATGTGTAACGTGTTCTGAGACAGAACCTATCTCGACGTACAACTTTTGAAGTAGGACTGGAATAGAAGAAAACAGGGCAGGATAACCATACCAAGACGAGATAGCAGTCCATCAAATCTCTCTCTGTTAGTCTGAGCCAAACAGACAAATGTAGACTACTTCAAATGCAGGCCATGCTTTCCAATTCATTATGTAGGTTAAACCAACACAAAGAACTCCAGGCAACTGTCTACATCCGACTGCTTTGGTGAGATGAGTGGGGCTGACGGAGTACTGTATTCTCTACTACTTGAGGAATAACTACACAGTCACCAAACACTAGGCAACTGTCAACTACTGAGAGGGAATCCCATCAGGGAAAACTGTTTGATTTTTGGGTAACTGATATGCGATACCTAACCTCAACGAAGAAAGTTGATGAAGTTACGTATCACATGGTACAGACAACTAGTTTTTCTTACATTTGTGAACGATAAGGATGCGAGATTGACGGCGTTAATCAGAAGTTTTTTCATTTGCTCTTCAACGGAAACGGCAGCAATCACCATATCTTCGTTTTCCACCTTGTTACTTCCAAGAAGTTGTGAAAGTGAATCAACTTGAGCAAGTTCATAGATGGACTTTATTTTGAAATTGTGACCCAGCAAAATAACTGCTCATTTCTGAAGACGATTCGCTCTGTAAAATGGGATTTTTTTTTTCTTAAAATAGAAAATTGATAGGAGGCATTTATGGTTAGTAAGCAAAGTAGAAACTGCAACTATCAAGATTTTTGTATGACTTATTGACTACGAAAACCAACACAAGATATTCTCTCTCCATCTAATGATGATTCTATTTAGCCCTTGTTAACGTTCTTGATGCATGTGCAATCGGCTTTTCAACACCATTTGAAAACACATGAGATATGTTTATACCAATACCATAATTAGATGCATCGTCCACTTTCAGTTTAGGATTTTAATGTACGAGCAACATATTGCAAGATAATATTTTTTAAATCTTTTCATATACACTCCAGCATTCATTAAACCAAGTCCATTTTGCACGAGTGTCTGTTTCACAGGTGATGCTGGAGGATAACTATAAACTTTTATGCTGCCATATGTTTCTTCTGTGCTTTCAGGAGCCACTGAAATTGAGGTAGGAAACGCTAGATCATCCTTAAACTGCCTCGTACATTGACATGGTGTTCCATATTCCATAACAGTGCCAGACACTCCTGTTTAACAAACTTCCTTATTGCAAGAGAGAAATGGGTTGCAGCCCGTGGTTGCGAGCTGTCAGTAGACGTTGTGTTTATAGACTTCAGTAAGGGATTCGATAAAGTGTCTCGCGTAAAATTGCTAAGAAATCTCTCCTCTTTCGGGTTCGGCGCTTCACTGAGAACCTGAATTATATACTTTTTGTACGATAAAAGGCAGAGTGAGGGTTAGTGAGACTGTCCAGGTAGAAACCCGTGATGAGTGGAGTTCTCCAAGGAAAAATCCTAGGTTCGCTACTTTTCTAACTATATGTCAATGAATTACCGCATTTGCTCAACTCTACGGTGCTTCTATTTGCTGATGACGTAAACGTTTGGAGAATCATACGTAGTGATGCTGATAGGTATGCACTTCAAGCGAATTTGGATGAAATGGTAGGTCGGTCCAAACGTTGGTACCTGCAAGTTAACTCTAGTAAAAGGGCAATAATGTCTATTGGGTATAGTAATTATTTGCAGTATCCACTGATGGTACACCACTGTTCCCAGTCTTTGAACTGGAAGACTGAAGTGTCACCATAAGTCAATTTCTGAAAACTTCGGCACACTAAAATGTAGCTGTAGCAAAGAGTTTCCGTATGCCATGGTTTCGATCAGGATATTTTGAAGAGACTCTACTCTACTTACGTTATACCTCACTTGGAATACTGCATTTAGGCGGCTAGCCCATCCCTAGAGCATGTTTAAGGGGTACGTACTAAGCTTGCAGCACGGATTGAAACAGGACAACTGGCCTCCTACTGATCAAATCAAGAAACAGAAGAACCAAAATGCAGATTAGCACAAGGAGAGAAAGGTCTGGAAATAGTGGGTTTCCGCATAGTGAGGTTTCGGCGCAAAACGATGCCGAAGTCTATCGTCTTGTACACAAATCCACGTAGTCTCCTAAGCAAGTGGACTGAACTAAGTAAGGTAATGAGCATAAGAAGTTCTGACATCATTGCTATCTCCGAAATTTGGCTCTCTTCCGAGATCAGTGACAGTGAAATACATTTACACGGATTCGTTCCTTTTAAAAGTTATAAGTAAGCAAGCAAAGTTGGCAGCGTCATCCATTATGTTAGGAATACCTTGACTGCAAGAGACATATAAACACTTGCACAAGAAACTGGGGCTTGTGAAATGCTGCGCTGCCAACTAAAATGCAAGAGACAAGGTTTTATTTAATATAATCGTAGTATAGCGAAGCCCTGAATCCCATTCAGGGCACCAGACTTCCTCCTGTGTAAGCTGGCCCTCTGGACAGATAACCGCCAATGCTTAATTGTAGGAGAATTCAATGCACCATCAGTTAACTGGGATAAACGAATAACAGAAGCATCACCTAATTTGTTTGATCATAAGTTACTAAAGCAACAATTTCATTGGCCTTCGTAATGCACATTAGAGCAACAACCAGATACGATAATCAGCATCCTCCATCAGTTCTAGACATAGTATTCTCACACAGACAGATGATTCATGCCCCACCAGGCACCTCTCACCCCTTGGTAAAATTGATCATGCTGTGGTCATCTTCTGATTCACAGCAGCCGTCTTGCACCGGCCCGATGCCCCAGCTAGACTCAGTGTACGGAAAGCGAGTATGGCTGCTATTAGGATGACCACCTCTTCGGTGGACTGGACAGTCAATCCAGAAGCCTCAGTTGAAACTCCGTGGTGCTCCGTTAAACAGTTATATGCACGAGTGACTCAACCGTTTATTCCGCGAGCTGTTTCGAGGGGACGGAAACACTGTCCTCCGTAAGTAAACCACGAAATCCGAATCTTGCTAAAAAGCAAGAAAAGGTGTTGGAGTCTTGCCACCCACCTCAGTACTTTCGAAACGATGAATCATTACGAAAAAGCCCGAAATAATTGTGTTGCCGCCTTCCGTCAATCTCAAATATGCTTTGGATCACATCTTGCCCAGGCTGCACTGTACATTCGAAGAGGTTGCTTTTTAATATGAACTATAGAAATAAGATATGCCATGGTATACCCACCCTAATCAAAGAGACAAAAACTGACATTTTAGTTGAAGACAGTGGGGAAAAGCAGTAGCTATGCCTGGATTTTTTGCTGAGGTTTTTACACAGGAACCTTCTATGGATACTGATTCAACAGTAGAAACATTGACGTCCAACAGAATAAACACTAAGGACATCAACTGCAATGATGTACTTAAGGCATGTAGAAAAATCAACGGGATCGCATGGGCTGCACCCAAGACTGGTCAGAGAGCTTGCACTCTATGTAGCTGGTCCCCTGACTACTATAGTTAGACTGTTCCTCAGTGAGGGCACGCTCTTTTATGATTGGAAGGATGTCCTAGCCACACCTAAATGTAAGGCAGCATGCATCGAATCACACACCGATAAGTTGAACTAGCATCGTAGTAAAGATATTGGAACAGTGAAGAAAGATATCACAGCCCACTTAGAGAGCAACACTTTATTGTCTCGTTCGCAGAAATTTCTTTCTTGATGAACCTCCTCAGTCAGAGAAAGTTGGGTTAAGTCTAAGGATTATAAGATACCTAAGGATGTCATTTTCATCGACTTGAGTAAGGTGTTCGACAAGGTAACTCATTCCAGGCTGCTCGGAAAACTGGAAAGTTTTGGAATCACTGGCGATCTACTTGCATGGATCAGGGAGTAAGGATCAATTCTCAACTCTCCTCGTGGAAGTCAACGGAGGGTGGAGTATCGGAAGACGCTGTCCTGAGTCCTTAGCCATTTCTCCTATACGTAAATGAGCTGCGAAATATCCCGAACTTCCCTATGATGGTGTAAAAGTGTGGCGGGAAATTGTTAACGACGAGGATAAACATGCACCTGAAATAGACCTAAACAACTTATTAACCTGGTCAGAAATTGGCTGACGCACATCAACACAGGTAAATGTGCGAGCATGCACATGCAGCACACAGATGGCAATGCTTACGATATTGATGGGACTCCTTTACCACCAGTACTGACCCACAATGACCTAGTGAATTGTAATTTGAAGACCACGGCACACTGTCGGGTGCTCGCAGCTAGGAGTTTTAGGACGGTTTGAGCATTCAGCAGAACATCTACAAAATAAGTGATCTGCTCATTATCTTGTATGCATCCTCAATTAGGTCTTAACTAGAAAACTGTACACAGGCGGCAAATCCTTGTCCGAAAGGTAACTCATACCTTCTAGGAAGAGTTCAGAGGGCAGTCTCTCGTATGGTCTCTGCGATTGTTTGCCTGACCTAAGAAGATCGGTTTAAGGAGCTGAACCTCTCCTTTTTTTCCATTTGCAGACAAAGGAGAGATCTAATGATGCTATGCAGGATTCGAAAAATGACTTTGAAAGTGATCTATCTCTTCACTTCACACTAGTTCGGGACACTTCAGAGGACATAGCAGGAGAATACAAAAGCAA